GTTTGGCAGCTGATGTTAGTGCGTATACGGAGAAGATAGAGATGCCCGGAAAGTAACTCTTCAGTTGCACGCAAGCCATGCGATCCTTGCCTGGTTCCCCTGCAAGCAGTACACGATTTGTTTGTTCCGAGAGGGTGATGGCCACACCATATCCGCCAGAAAACCTGTCTGGGTTGCTGTGATACAGGGCCAGATGTGAGTTGGCTCCCGAGATCTTTATTCCCTGGACGCCTGAATCAGAAATTCTGGATTCAGACGGGCAGCAGAAATCCACGCTGCACTGATAAAGGGTGCGCGGCCTCAAACTTGGGTTGCCAGGGTGCAGAAACGTTCGCATACTGCAGCATCCAATAACAATATTATGTTGCTGATTGAGTAGTCCAGCGCCCATACTATTAGCTCGCACCACTGGACTAGAGCCGCAGAGCGCGTAACTTTCCACGCACGTAGTAGCACGGATCGTGATACTGTGGTCGGACATTGTCTTCATAAGTACAAAAGGGGCCCAAACAGCCACTCGGGTTATTTTTTCGAGGTTGTCTTCTCTAGAGCATTGGCCTAAGAGCCTAATCAAAAGGCAGCGGTGGCAAGCGTTTCGGGTTCGTCATCTCACAGAGCCGCCATCGGACTTTGTATCACGTTATAAGGCAGTAAGCTTGCCAGACCTCAGCTCTCGCTGCTTGCCACCGCGACTTGTGATTGGCCAGATCCGAAAGCCTGCTTATTTCACAATTAACCCCCGCCCAAGGCCGTTGCAATAGACGCTACCTGTAGACGCGCCAGGTAGTTAGTAGCTAAGTCAACAGCGTTATGAGTTTCACAAGACGTAACATAAGATAACGCGCACAAAATACCAATGTGGAGGCCCTTCTCACGCGAGGCTGGGGTGAGATTGATCTTGTGTTGGAGTCTGCGCTGCTAACCCATGTGTCTAGAAACGCTCAACTAAAAAGAACCAAAGGTCCTCGAATGCATACTGTTCTCCAACCCCAACAGATTCCTTTCGAAGTTCATTTAAAGGGGTATTTGGTTGTTAATCTGAGCCGTAGGACACAGTATGGAAGTAATAGTAGTAAAAATCCGATTCCCAGGTGGTTAGTCAGGAGGAAGCGCGTTCACCGTGTAAGGTATATTTTGTATCTGACGTTT